TTCCCACTATTTTTCCCCTCACATTTCTGACCATTTTCCCCTTACGTTTCCTGCCCTTCTTCCCCTCACCTTTCCCACTTTTTCCCCTCACCTTTCCCATTATTTTTTCCCTCACATTTGCCACTATTTTTCCCCTCATGTTCCCCACTCTTTTTCACCTCATGTTTCTCATCATTTCTCCCTGACATTTCCCGCTCCTCCCCTCACGTTTCTTGTCATTTTTCACTCATATTTCCCACCATTTTCCCATTTACATTTCCCACTTTTCCCCTCACCTTTCCCACATTTTCCCCCTAACATTTCCTGCACTTTTCTCCTCACATTTCCCACCACAATTACAACTCCATTTCCCTCCTTCTCCCTCAGTTTCTCCTCCCATATTTCCACCTTCTCTCCGATGCCGCGCTGCAGCAGGTCTGAGAGCTGCAGCACCTGCGCATGGGACAACGTGAGGGGACACGGAGTGGGGAAGGGGGAGAGAACGTGGAGGGAACATGGCGGGGGAACACGGAGAGAACATGGAGAGAACATGGAGAGAACAGGGAGAGAACGTGGAGGGGATTCGGAGTGGGGAAGGTGGAGGGAAGATGGAGAGAACGTGGAAAAGAACAGGGAGGGAATGTGGAGAGAACGTGGAGAGAACACGGAGGAGGAACATGGAGAGAATGTGGAGGAAATATGGAGAGAACATGGAGAAAGAACAAGGAGGAAGAACATGAAGAGAACATGGAAGAGGAACATGGAGGAACATGGAGAGAACGTGGAGAGAACACGGAGAGAACATGGAGAAAGAACATGGAGGAAGAACATGAAGAGAACATGGAGGAGGAACATGGAGGAACAGGGAGAGAATGTGGAGGGAACACAGAGAGAACGTGGAGGGGAAGATAGAGCAGAAACACAGAAGGAATATGGAGAAGGAACATGGAGGATCACGGAGAGAACGTGGAGGGAAACATGGAGAGAACACGGAGGAGGAACATGGAGAGAACGTGGAGAGAACATGGAAAGAATGTGGAGGAAGAACATGAAGAGAACATGGAGGAACATGGACAAACATGGAGAGAACGTGGAGAGAACACGGAGAGAACATGGAGGAAGAACATGAAGGGAACACGGAAAAGGAATATGAAGAGAACGTGGAGAGAATGTGGAGGAGAAACATGGAGGGACATGGAGGAGAAGATGGAGAGAACATGGAGGAGGAACATGGAGGGAACACGGAGAGAATGTGGAAGGAATATGGAGAGAACACAGATGAGAAGATGGAGAGAACATGGATGGTGAACATGGAGCAGAAACATGGAAGGAATATGGGGAAGGAACATGGAGGAACACGGAGAGAATGTGGAGGAATCACAGAGAGAACATGGAGGGAAACATGGAGAGAACACGGAGAGAATGTGGGGGGAATATGGAGAGAACATGGAGGAGAAGATGGAGAGAACATGCATGGTGAACATGGAGCAGAAACATGGAAGGAATATGGGGGAAGAACATTGAGGAACATGGAGAGAACGTGGAGAGAACACGGAAAGAACATGGAGAAGAACATGAACAGAACACGGAGGAGCAACATGGAGGGAACACAGAGAGAATGTGGGGGGAACATGGAGAGAACACGGAGGAGAAGATGGAGAGAACACGGAGCAGAAACACGGAAGGAATATGGAAAAGGAACATGGAGAGAATGCGGAGAAATCACAGAGAGAACACGGAGGGGAACACGGAGAGAACGTGAAAAGAACATGGAGAGAACATGGAGAGAACACGAAAAGAACACAGAAAGAACACAGAGCGAAGCTCCTCCACACCCCACAGCACCCCAACCCCACGTGCAGCCATCACCCACACCCCTCCCAGGTCCCAAAAACGCCCTTTTTCCCCCCAGAACGCCGCGGGGCCCCACCTGCGGCAGGCGGCGGTCGGAGCCGCGCAGGCGGGCCAGGCAGCGCGTCAGGAACTGGCGCACCTGGGCGCGCTCGGGGCCGCCCAGCAGCTCCAGCGAGCCCAGCGCCGCCGCCTGCTCCTCGCAGCGGCCCCGCGAGAAGGTGAAGGTGACGGCGGGCAGCAGCTCCCGCTCGCGGAGGGTCTCCAGCAGCGACAGCCAGACCCCCCGCTCCTGCACGGGGGAAAGACGGGCTCAGCGGGACCCCCGGG